GATACCACACCCTGTGAAATGTGGCCCTGATATCAAGGGCAGTGTCTTTGGGGAACAATTACAGTTTTAAAAAAAAAAATGGTATTGGAAAAGTTATTGTCAGGATTCTTCCTCCTATCTGTTGGTAACAACTTCCTTTGGGCTCATGGGCTTCATAGAAGGCTGTTCAGAGATGTCTCAGAACCAGGGAGTATCCTTCCCTCTTTACGAATTTGCATTACTTGAGTAATAGCGTCATAGAGTTATACAGCACGGAAACAGACCCTGTGGTCCAACCAGTTCGTGCCAAATATAATCCCAAACTAAACTAGTCCCACCTGCCTGCTCCTGACCTTTATCCCTCCAAACCTTTCCTATTCATGTGTCTATCCAAATGTCTTTTAAATGTTGTAAATGTACCCGCATCCAACACTTCCTCAGGAACTTTATTCCACGTGTGAGCCACCCTCTGTAAACATTTGCCTCTTATGTCTTTTTTAAATCTCTTTCTTCTCCCCATAAAAATGTGCCTCCTGGTCTTGAAATCCTCCATCCTATGGAAAAGACAACTTCCATAATCCCTATTTATACCTGTCATTATTTTATAAATTTCTGTCAGGCTGCCTCTTGACTGCCTATGCTCCAGTGAAAGAAGTCCCAGCCTATCCAGCCTTTCTTTATAACTCCCATACCTGGCAACATCCTGGTAAATCTCTTCTGAACCCTCTCCAGCTTGATAACATCGTTCCTATAACTGGGCGACCAGAGCTGGACAAAGTATTTTAGGAGAGGCCTCACCAACGTCCTGTACAACCTCAACATGATTTCCCTACTCAAAGAACTGAGCAATGAAGGTAAGCGTGCCAAACACCTTTTTAACCACCCTGTCTATATGTGGCGCAAACTTCAAAGATTTATGCTCCTGCACTCTTGCGTCTCTCTGTTCTATAACACTATCCGAGGCCCTCCCATTAATTGCATAAGCCATACCCTTGTTTGTTGTACCAAAATGTAACACTTCACATTTATCCAGATTGAATTCCTCCTGCCATTTTTCAATCCATTGACCCATTTGATCAAGATCCCTTTGTAATCTTCGAAAACCTTCTACTCTGTCTACTGTGCCACCAATTTTGGTGTCTTCCGTGAACTTACTAACCATGCCTTCTATATTCTCATCCAAATCATTTATGTAAATAACTAACAAAAGAGGACCCAGAACTGATCCTTGTGGAACACTGCTGGTCACAGGCTCCAGTTCAAAAAACAACTCTGCTCTATCTTCCGACTTCAGGGACCGTAGTTTCCCCTCCTCTGTTGAGGATGCCCTCAACTGCATCTCCCCCATTTCCTGCGCTCCTGCTCTCAAACCCCCCTCCCAATGACAATAAGGTAGAGTCCCCTTAGTCTTCACACACCACCCCATCAACCTCCGAATACAATACATCATCCTCCAACATTTCCGCCACCTACAATTGGACCCTGCCCCCACCAAAAAGCTATTTCCCTCCCCACCCCTGTCCACTTTCTGCAGGGACTGTTCATTCCGTCATTCCCTCATCAGCTCTACATTCCCCACCAACCCCTCCACTACACCTGGTACCTTTCCCTGCGATTGCAGAAGGTGCTACACCTGCCCCCACCCTTGCCCTGTCACCTCTGTCTAAGGCCCTAAACAATCCTTCCAAATCCGGCAGAGATTCACCTGCACTTCATCTAACCTCATTTACTGTATCCGTTGCTCCTGGTGTGGTCTCTATGTCAGAGAGACCAAATGTAGACTCTGGGACCGGTTTGTGGAGCATCTCTGCTCTGCATGCACCAACCAGCCCAACCTTCCGGTTGCCATCCACTTTAACTTCCCCTCCCACTCCCGTGGTGATATGCCCATCCTTGGTCTCCTCCACTGTCAGAGTGAGGCCAAACACAAACTGGAGGAACAACACCTCATATTTTGCCTCAGGAGCTTACAGCCCAATGGTCTAAATATGGACTTCACCAGTTCTAAAATCTCTCCTCCTCCAACCTGTCTGTCTTCTAACTCACCTATCTGCTCCACCCTTCCCACTGACCAAGCACAATAACTCCCTACTTGTATCCACCTACCTCCATCTCATCTACCCTGCCACCACACCCCCTCCCCACCGCCGCCGCCGCCCCACTGAAACATTGACTTTCTGCTCCTCAGATTTGTCTCATTTGCTGTACTTTTCCAGCTTGACTCTGGTTTCCAATATCTGCAGTCCTTTCTGCCTCCTCCACCATTACTCCCTGTCTCCTGCTGTTAAGACCTTTTCCCCTCTCAGTACTGGCTTCTATTTTGTTCGTCACTGGTCTCCGTTTCAGTACTGAGGCATTAGCAGCTACATAGGGTTTTGATCCTGTTTACCCACTTTGATTGGTCAGAAAGTCCTTAATAGTGCAGCTAATGCTGTGCTTTTGGGAAGAGGATGTATGTTTAACTAGTTGCCAGATGGAATGTCTGTCTCTTATGAGAAATCCGATGAATGCAAACTTGGATCATCTTTGTTCATGTTGTGTTATGATGGTGTTTATTTGTGGAAAGAGAACAGTGATGCTACTTTAAAGTGTGAGTCATAGTGTAGGTGACGTAGCAGAAGTACTCTTAATTGTGGCATCCAGCTATGACGAACTTTGAAATGTGTGCAGAAAAATGTGGTTGCACTTTGACTGTTTGTAAAACAAAACTAATGTGTAATTTGTTTTCCTCTCCAGGACTTAGCTATTTACATCTAAACTGTCATGTGGACTGTGTCTTCTGGTACAAATGGAATATCACTTGCTTTGAAAACTCTTTATTTGCCTTTCTTTTCTTGCCCAGAAAGGGCACAAATTGTCTTTCTGTCTGTATTGGCAATGTTTATTGGCAAGGCGAGATGAGATAATCTGCAGGCATATCGGTAAATAGTAATAAAACTCCTTAACCAGTCCTGAAGAAGAAATTCAAGAATGGAATTGGTGGGACCTTTGCTGCACCCCTCCCACAACATGTAGGTTCCAAGTAATAAACACGTTTATAAGTGAGTTAGTATTGTACATACTAGTTCTTTGTAATTAATGATGCAAATCAATTTGTAATTGCAATTTGACATTACTTGAAATATTATTGTGCACGAGATGAATAGTGTTCTGGGATTCCTCCCACCAAAGCTATTAATACCAGTGTGCTTCACACATTCTATTTCTGATTAGTTCCCTAAATTGTAATTCCTCAAGATTCTCTTCCCTTACTTTCCAAACTAAACCAAAAATTACTGCAAGTGTATAAACCAAATTGAATGGATTTTCAGATTAATTGTTTTTTTTAAAAACTCTTGTTCTAGGTAATTGCATTGAGATTCTTCAGATTGCTGTAAGTTTTTAGTATCAGAATCAAGTTTTGTAAAATATCAATGATTTGTCTGACAGTCTAAGGTTTCACTTTATTACTATTTCAAGCAATGCATTTATTTGTCAAATTTATAAATGTGTGAAGGCAAATTATTGTGAATTAACTAGAATGTAGTGGTCTTGGAAATGCAATTGATGGATAAATAGTATTCTTATCCACTCATGTACTGTGATAATTCATGTGATACTGATATTACATTATATGAAAGAAAACTGCTAAAACTTTGAAGGACGAGTAGTCACTAGCCTGTTGTGAAGCTGGACAAACAATGTCACCAGTGTTGCTTGTAGGAAGTCTCTGGAGGGGAACAGGGAATGGGAGAAAACAGGGCTAATATACCACATTAAGAATAATGGTAAATCCTATAAAAATAATTTATGTTTTTACTATTCTGTACTGCGTTTGCAAATATTACCATGCCAATACAATTGAATGTATTTTCAAACTGTTTAAAAAAAGCTACTGATTAATTCTGGCACAATATCAAATGATATTCAACAATGAAACTGTTGCTTTACACAAGTGAATAATTAAAACACAGTGAGAGATCAGCTCGCACACTTGCTTGGTTCTTTGAAAAATGCCACGTGACTGTGGGAATTTTCATTATACACTTCAAAATGTGGGCTCTGCCTCTCTTAGGTACTCTTCAGAATGAATTTTTGTATGGACTGAATAGTCAGTTTTTACTGATTCTAAAATCTCTCATCCAAGGAGGGAAGTATTATTTCTGATTGATTTATGTTCTTAGTTGTTATCCACTGTCTTTCACTAGCTGTGCCTATTAGTTTTGATTGATAACAAGGCTAGACACCAGTGCATTGGATAAATAGTCTGTACCACATTATTAAAGATGAGAAAGACAGCATTTTGGACAAGTTATTGATCGCATGAACAAAACTAGCTTCCTAATAATGCACCATTGCCTTCACAAGGAAATGGAGTGGGAGAAAATTGAAGACTGCGAGAAACTAAGCTATTATGTATTTCTTAAACACACAGGATACACTCTTGTCTCAAATGAATATTGTTTGTTTCTTTCATGATCCTTACTCCTTACTTAAAAAAAAATCTTTGTCCTTTTATCCCCCATTCAAATATGATCCTCAGAAGCATCTACACACTTCACTTCACTTGAAGCAATTACTTTCCAGTGCACTTGCAAGAGGTGGAGGCAAGTGGATTTAGCAGTAGGATACCACACTGCCTAAAATTTATGAAGCTTGAGTTTGAATTGAGCATAAAGGAATGGAATGAAAATCTCTTCTGTATTTTTTTCCATCCTTGAATCAGTTTGATATATTCTGGTTAATTTCCTTAGCAGAAGGCAACATTTTATCAACAATCTTGTGTTGTGAATAAGATGGAATGATTTGCAACGATAAACTAAGTAATTTGACTTGCAGAGTGCTGTACATTGCACCTAAAGCTTAAACAATCCAGTTGAAAACTCTAGTTATTTTTATTCTCTGCTTTGACAGGTGCTCTCCCCAAACAGGTGCTCGCTCTCACTTCACAACAGATAGATGAAAGACTTAAGGATTAGCAGCAGAACATATTTTGTACTTAAATTTTTAAAAAATCTTTTATGATTTGTTTCTCTTTCTAGGAGTCTGCAATTACATCGAAATCAACAGATGAACTGTACACTGAGTACAAAAGTGATCGAAATGAAATTTCCTATTGTTATCAACTGCTTCAGGAACTAAATGAGCAGCGGCAGCAAGGCATTCTGTGTGATGTCAACATTGTGGTGAAGGGTCAGGTTTTCAAAGCCCACAAGAATATATTAGTTGCTGGCAGCCGTTACTTTAAGACACTCTATTGCTATACTCCAAACGACAGTTGTGACCAGGTCACAGTAACTCACCTTGATGTTGTTGCAGTGCAAGGTTTCACTGTCATTCTTGATTTCATGTACTCTGGACATTTGGTTTTAACCAGCCAGAATGTAATTGAGGTAATGTCTGTAGCAAGCTATCTACAAATGACAGACATTGTTCAGGCTTGCCGTGGTTTCATTAAGGATGCCCTGAACATCAGTACAAAATCCAATGCAGCAGAGAAAATAATAATGCAATATGAGAAGGTAAAAGCCTCCAACCAGTCCCAAAAAGAAAACACTGTAGCTACACTGAAACATGAACCTAACAGTCCTTGGGTAGTCAAATCTACAACTGCAGTGAACAACTGTGCTGCAGGAGGACTGCATGAAGAGAGGGCTAGATATGAAATGGAGAACTACAGTTTTGATGTGGGTTCAGTAATGGACCAGAATGAGAGCTACCAGATTAATGATTCTGTCTGGAATCAAGATAACTTTTCAGATTATGTTGGAAAAGATCTGCAGATGGGACTACCTCAAGATCAGGGCCCTGCTTTTTCATGGGGAAATTTGGGAAAACTAATGCTGCATCAGACAGTTCCTCGAAGTGGACGAAGGAAAAACCACATAACTAGAAGAATTGTATATGATGTTGCACCAAAAGCTGAAGAGGGAGTTGGAGATAATTTAATGATTCAGCCACCTATGGCATTCTCTGAGGATGGATTACAGGAAATTCCCGTTGACTCATTTGGAGGTACTGTGTGTGTGTGTGTAATGTATTAGATTTTCTCATATTTTTCTTGAAGGCAGTCCTGCATGGAATAGTTCTTCCAATATCAGAAAAGTACTTTGACCAAATCCATGTTCTTACCGTATCATCCAATTCCACCATGTCGTTGATGCCGCACCCTGCTTCCCACTTTTCCAAATTGATGGAAAGCACGCCAAGGAAATGGGCCATTTGTCAGTGTCTATCGTACATCTGAGTTAATAGCACTCATCCATATTTACTACACTATTCTTATCTCCATTTCCCTGAATATAGTCTTTAATACAGACAACTGCTGCCTCACAAACCCTTGAGGTGAATTCCACAGCTTGTCAGTACTGTTCAGTAATCATCTTCTGTTCTTTGTATTTAGCCCATACCTTTTGACTCCTTATCCACTGGACACAGTCTGTTTGTATTTGATCCATTCCATTCTTTCAAAATTAAAAAAACCGTTGAACTACCCTATAATAAGTTATCCTATTGAAATTAATGCAAAATTGAAGTATTTGGGAACCAGGGTACAGCTGTCTGGTGGTTGGAGTCCTATCTAGCACAAAGGAAGATAGCTTTGGTTGTTGGAGGCTAAACACCACAGTTCCAAGTTCCTCAGATTAGATATTTTCGAATCAACTTGTTCAGAGATCTTATTTCATACCTCGAGAGCAGGTGAGAACTGAACTTGGCCCTGGGGCTCCAAGGTCCTGTCACTGCATCACAAGACCCAGCTCCGCAGGGTAAATATTTTCTAATTGGCTTGTTCGAAGGTGTTATTACACCCCTCTGGAGCATGTGGGATTTGAACCTAGGACTTCTGACGTAGAGGTAGGGACACAATTCCTCGAGATAGATATTTCTAATCACCTTGTTAAGAGATCTTATTTTATTCTTTTTATTCATTCACGGGATGGGGGTGTCACTGGCTAGGCAGCATTTATTGTCCAGAAGGCAGTTCAGAGTCAACCACATTGCTGCGGGACTGAAGTCACATGTAGGCCAGACCAGGTAAGGATGGCAGTTTCCTTCCCTAAAGGACATTAGTGAACCAGACGGGTTTTTTTTTTTTAAACAATCAACAGTGGATTCACAGTCACCATTAGATTCTTAATTCCAGACATTTTATTGAATTCAAATGCCACCATCTGCCATGGCAGGATTCAAACCTGGCTCTCCAAAACATGATCTGGGTCTCTGGATTTACAGTTCAGTGATAATACCACTAGGCCATCGCCTCCCTGCAGAACTCTAGTGCAGGTGAAACCTGAACCTGGGCCTCCTGGCTCAGAGATAGGGATATTACCACTGCCACAAGAGACCTCAGTTCCTTAGGATAATGACCAAGGCTCAATCATCTTCAGCTGTTTTATTAATGACTCTTCCCTCCATCATAAAGTGGGGAGTGGGAATGTTCATGGATGATAATGCAGTGTTCAGTATCTTTCACAACTGCTAAATCGATCTCCATATGCAGCAAGAGCTGGACAACATTTGGGCTTGGGCTGTGAGCACACTAATGACCGGTGATGACTATCTGTAACAAGAAAGAATCCTAACCATTTTCCCCTGACATTCTATGGCTTTACTGTTGCTGAACCTTATACTATCAACATGTTGGGGTTACCTTTGACCAGAAGCTGAACTCAATGAAAATATTGAGACGGTAAGAACAAGTTAAATGGTAGGAATTCTAAGCCAAATAACTCCC